TTCGATGTTGCGACTGTTGTTTTTTTTTTTTTTTAAACACTTGTGACTGTTGGTTGACTAGCAGATTTTTGTTGATTTTAACAAAGCTTTTCCTGAAATAACTGCTGCGCTTGTCTAAATATAAAATATAAGATAATGAAAAATATAAAATTACTTTAATTTTGAAAACTAGAAAAAGAAACTCTCTCTCAACTAGGATCTACCCCATTCCTCTCTCTCTATATCACCCACCCCTTCCCAAAGACACCAAAACCCAAAATTTGTACCTTACCACAGCCTGCTCTCCACCCATGTGTGAATCCATAACCTTATACCCACCAAAACCCACTGGCACACCCTCCGCTCGAACCTATTACCTCAAATTCCACCCCTTGAATACATCATCACCACCCTATTATTACCATCCTCATTATAACAAAGCCTAACTGTGAAACAACTACCATCTCAAAACATATTTCACCCCATCCCAGATATGTCCATCTTCTTGCAACGACCAAATAGCCCGAAAAAAGTGAAACGAAAGTCAAACCCATAAATGGTGTTCTTTTGTGTGCTTGTGTGTGAGTGTATATATGTGAGTCGAGAAAGAGATTAAAAATGAATGGGATCTCGATGATGGCTTCGAAGGTGGGGGAAGGAGTCCTCTCATACCTATTAGCCCGTCGTGCGATCCTCCCACTGGGGCCCGCTATGCCAAAAGCAAGAGAAACTCCATCCCTCTCTTTCCTTTTTTCGCCCCCATGTCCAGTAGGCGTGGATGGAGGGTGGCTAGGGATGGTTACAGGTTTGTGGGATGGGGGCTGAATTTTTGGGGGTGTGGGGATGCGGGGTAGGATGGTGCTGGGTGCACACACTCACACAAAGATACATTTTTTATTTTGGCTAGTTTGAGGATGTAGGGTAAGATGGTAATATATTGAAATGATATTGCGTAAGGTAGTGAAATGAGCATCACCCGACAAATTCTGACATGATGCTGAGTCAAATTTATGAAACAACATTAGGCAGAGTGTATTTCACAGAGTATTGGGTTTAATTGTATCTGATCTTATTTTACATTGAAATTTTTCCATGACTAACAGCTTGAACATCGCACCAGTTACCAAAGCTTGAAAGAGGAACTGAAGAGAGCAAGTGATGACCTTGTCAGGAAAGAAAATGTAAGCCATTTTATATCAAATGCACCAAGGAGTGTCTTATGGTGTCCGTTTAACAATAATAATTCAAATTTGCAAAAACAGGAATGTAGAAACGCTATTGAATCACTTGAACAAGATCACGCTATGAGGATTAATGAGTTGGAGACTCAGGTCAGGTGAGTTTTAAATGAATATAAACAATTCTGAATAATCTGTGTTTTGTTCTGAGGTTTGAATTTTGTCTTAAACCAGTGATTTATCAAGTCAAAAGGCAGCAAATGAAGCAACCATAAATGAGCTCCATCAAGATTTGGCTACGCATAGGAACCATATAGAGGCTTTAAAGAGCAGGTTGGAACGAATTCATTCTGATGTGGAATCCAGATGTGAGTTTCCAATAAATTGATTTCCTCAACTCCCAGATTCATTTTGTTGTACTGAACTTGTAAAAATTCTGCTGCATATTTTGTGGCAGATCATTATGAGATTCAGGATTTGAAGGACTGTCTCCTAATTGAACAAGAAGAGAAAAATGAGCTAAGCAAGAAGCTTCAGGATTTGGAAAAGGAATGTGAGTGCATAAGCCCTAGATATTAGTAAAACCCTTTTTAAACTTATCATAAGATTTTTTTTTTTACATCAGAGAGCTTCTATATTAGTTTACTGGTTTCTGAACTTCAAAAGTATACCTGGAACCTGGAAACATTTAGCAGCTCATATTTATAGTTACGATGTGACCATTTACGATGCTTTCAATACTTATAATTGGTGCAATTTTTTGAACATGCTGCAGTGCTTATTAGCAGAACAAAGCTGGCTGAGCACCAAAGAGATTTGACATCAAATCGACATGTTGAAACACTCAAGCAGAAGATTATGAAACTTCGGAAGGAGAATGAAGTCCTTAAAGGACAACAACTCGGTTCTAAAAAGGGTTAAAGGGTTTTGAAGTATTATTGGTGTCACTTTGTATGACAATGCAATAGATGCGGTCTCAGTGATCTTGTTGTGCCATTTTGTGCTATAGTACCAGAATTGAAAAGCCCAGCAAGCTACGTATTCTGGAATCTGGGCGGTTATGAAATTCCTCAAAAAGCAGGATTTCTCAAAATTTTCATGAATTGTAAAGTCATTTTGTTGTCAATAGATTTCCTCACAGTTTATTCCTCTTATGGGAGATAGTTGTTAGGTATCCATGACGAGACCATTGGGTCGAATTCTACTCTCATATGGATCATTAACATCTACACAGTGGATGAAATTTTGTACCATATTGGTGTTAATGCATGCCAGTGGCATTCTATATGAAGCCTTGCAATGGTATATTGTTTGTTTGACAGTATATATTTTCTCTAAAACTTTCCTAATCGCGTAGTTATCAAAATCCTGATTTTGATTGTAGCATCCTGCAATCTTACGATTTGGTTCAGACAAATCGATGCGAGTCTTTTGAAAAATCCTAATTTATTGAATCTTAATGGATTGTGATTTGATTTCTATAGGATCGATCATAGATGGCGTCTCTATTGCAATTGCAATTGCAGTTTTATCCATCTTGTATATTTGTTGGGGGTATGTTTGTACAAGCACTGAAGGAGGCAAGGAGTAAAAGATGATGATCACCACCGATCGCGTCTCTGGGTTCTAGCTTTCCACCGATCAAATTCAGTTCAAATTTTTTGAGCTTTTCAGTTTTGGATTAGTTTATACTTTATAGTGCCTCTGATAAAAACTTTGGTATCATACCGGAATTAATTAGGAGTTGTAAATTTCAATTTGATTTATTTTAAATTAATGATTATATCATAATAATATAAATAAAAATAATTTATAGGTATCACTCTTTATTAAAAAACAATGGAAGCATAGTATAAAAAGTATCTTTTTGGTGAAGCTTACATTACCGCACTGAAAATAGATTTGAATTTTTGATTTTGGTTTAAATGATATGTAACTATTAATTCAAAAAATAATAAAAATATTGAAATAAAATTTTTAAATGTTATACATTTGAGAAACATTATGGTACCGAAAAATAAAATTTCGGTATCATATTGAACAGTAAAAAAAATCCCAAAAAAATAGTCTATTTTATCCCAAAAGGTGATAAAATCTACTTAAAAGGTTATAAGAGAACTCAAAAAATAGTAAGTGAACAAAAAAAGTGACTGCATCAAAAATTTAGTAAATTCTAGCCAAAAAATAGTGAGTGGTATAATATCTAATTTTGTTTTTTTTTGGGTCAGTGATGAAAAATAAAAGTAGAATACCTCAAAATAACAATTTGATAGGACTCCTTTTTGGTACAATTCAATACCCAAACTAGCGTTTTGATTGCTGTTGTGTTTTAACAAAAGAGTAATGTTTGATTGATCAAAATTTGGGATCAAATTTAGAGATCAAATGACATGACAGTTGATTATTTGAAATTTTTATTGAGACCCAAATGACATGATACCAATCAAAAAAGTCCAAGTCAACTGCCATGTCATTTGAGCTCCAAATTTAGTCCTAAATTTTGGTTAATCTAGAATTATTGTTAACAAAAATAGCATTTTTCATTTACAAAATGGTAATCCAGTTCCAGTCCCAAGGCAAGTGGAGTGACACTAAAGATCAAAAGAGAAAATCTTTATGCACAAACAAAGAGACATTCCATCAATCGTACTCCCCCCCCCCCCCAAAAAAAAAAAAAAAAAAAAGGGATAAGAAAATTTAAAAGCAAAGCAAGCAATACCCCCACCCACCTCTGCCGCAATGATGGCCGTCGCAGTTTGAGTGGGCGCATGAAAGATCTACTTGTTTAATTCCCATGCAAAATAAAAGTAGACATAATATTCTCTCTCGCTCTGTGACAGCTTTTAAAGATAATGAAGAGAAAAGTGTATGAAGTAGAATCTAGTCCTATCTCTTGATTGAAGTGATGGGTTTTGCTCTAGCAAAGAGAATCCATGTTGGGAGCTTGAAAAGAAGAGCCAGAGAGAGAGAGAGAGAATGTGTCAGCTTGATAGGCATGCGTTCTTTTAAACTACAAAAGGGTGTTGTTTCAGAAGACATGAAGGAATTTTAGGTTATTGGGTTCTTTCTTTTGGCATTTTGCCACATTCCCTTCTATTCTCAGGGTTGTGTGTGCCATGTTATCTTTCTCAATCTGTGTTATTTGACGTGTGCAATGTCTGGTTCAAAACACACTCAAATCAATAAAACCTTCTCATTCCTTGTCTACCTGGTTGGAGAGAACGCTTACCCTCAAAAACATGAATGTTAGATACGAAAAGAGCTTTTGTTGATACGATGCTTAATCCAATGATTTTTAACTAAGTAATTTTATACTGAAAAGAGATCAATAAAAGAAGCAAAAGGCGAAGAAAACTTTTGACTGCAATAGTGATTTGTACCCAACACCTTTTCACTCTAAATGCGTTGTGAACTCCAACGCTTTTTTTCCCTAAAGTTATTGCCCTTATGTTATGTAAAAGGAAAGGAAATGATGCCTTCACCAAAATTTGTACCAAGTTTTTTTTTACAAATAATGTGATATATTGATATTCATTAAATAGTTTGTAAAAATTTGTGAAATTTACTGATGATCATGTGATTCATATTGATTTGAGATTTATAATTTGATTTAAATTTTGGTAGATGTAACATTGTTGTATGTAAATTAGATTGTCCTCTTTAGATCACTTGAAAGTTTTTTTCTTCTTTGGGTTTTAGCCTCATATTCTAATTCCATGTAGACCTTATATGATCAAGATTTGATCCAAATTTGAGTTTGATTAGTTAGATATGATTAACAGTTTTGTTGATTATGCGAACTCGAACCCATTCTATCATAATTTCAACTCACTGATTCCAATTTGAATATATTATTATCAGATGAGATATTCTGATTCATTCTTAATAATTTTTTTATATATATACACACACACACACACTTGTATATTAATGTGAATTGTCAATTGATTAAATTGAGTGTGATAATCAACTTTAATTCAGTTCTTTGGATCGAATTAAATTTTTAATTTTTTAAAAGGATTCTGATACAGATGGTGCCCTTTCCGCTTTAGAGTATTGGGATGGTACCCTTCTCGATTCAAAGTGTTGAAAAAACAATACCAATTTATGATGAGCATAATGAGGATAAATTTTTTATCAATTATAGTAAGTGGGTTCCTTTGTCCATAATATTTGATGAAATAAATAGTAAATTACTTGATTTTAAAATAGATAATTGTCAAATTGGTATCAGAGCAAGTTCAATCCTGATGTGTTTCCTATATTATAGTACGAAGCAATGATGCACATGAATGAAAGACCGACGAGAGAGTGCAACCTAATAGACGTTAATGTGAAATATTTAAAGAGACAAGTGTAACAAATCTAACAGTTACTTGAACGCTCCCATTCTTTAGATCATGCTGAATCTTGTCATGATTTATAACATTAAACATCTTATGAGGAAGAAGATGTATTCTTCGACACTGATTCATCTTCTTTAGCAGTCATGGATGGTTCTCTTCCTAATCTGGAGTGGTGGGGAACTTTATCAATCTATGCTGAGTATGATGAAGATGAAGTTTTGATTGTTGAATGAAAATACAACTTTTGGCTTATTCAAAAAAAGTTTTCTTCTTGTTAAACTCTTATCATTTTGGTGGATCTCCGATTGGTGTTGAGTTTGCTATGTATCTCTTCGGTGGATTTCTTAGAGTAGTGAACCTGTCTACTATTCTTGGATTGTTCTTTGTCTTACTCCTACTTCTCCACGTTTCCGTCGTTGAATAAGGTCTTTGAATCCACTTGCTAGATATAGGTGATGTGTTGTAGATGAGTCTGAATTGAAAATCTTCAATTAAATCTTAAAGTAAGTCAATGAATGTGGTTAAATAATCTTCAATCTTCAGACCACTTGATCCAACCATAGACAGACTTGAATGTTTATGGGTGGAATTTGAGAATTTTAGTATTTCAAAGTGTAAATTAGAAATTGGAAGATATTTCGAGGCCTGTCATTTTTTTATTTAATAATAGCATAATTATATTTTGCAATGTAATTATATTCGCCAAAATTTACGTGCAATGTACGTGCATATTCTTAGGTTAATTCGGCACTTGCATCTTTGTCAAATAATAGTCGAAGCACAAAGTCACCATTTCAGGCAAAATTTAAAACAATGTTTTATTATGAGCTTGATATTCTTGTATTGGAAAGAATTTTATTTTTTCCTATTTAGATGTAAAAAAATACTTTATGATTCTTGAATTATACTCATAGATTGTGATGTCACAATTCACTCTAGGTCATATACGATCTTGCAAACATTTAAATCACGAGAAAGATGTGTGATAGAATAGTGTATTATATAATTTTCATGGCCAAGTGGGATAAGTGTTAGCAATTCACTTACCAAAAAAGAAGAAAAGCTGATGATTCTTTCTTGTCAACATTTATCGAACGTTTCACATTGACGAAGTGGATATTAAAATTATAATGCATGAAATGATGGACCAATTATACTATAATAATTTATCCATCATGGATGATAAGTATTGCCAAATTACTTGATAAAACTGTCATATTATTGTAAGAAAGACGAATCAAAAATATTAGACGAATGTAATTTCCACTTACGGACCGACTATGTAAGAAAGATAAAATTCTTTGACTAGAATATTATTTCATTTACTATTTTCTTTTCATAGCCTAATGTGTGATTTACATCTATCAAACCTAAAAAAGTAATTAACATGAATTGTAGCTCAAAAACTTATTCGATCTACAAATTAGCTGAAAATTAGAAATTTGAAAGGGAAAGTATTGAATTAAAATCTGTCCTAAAATGTTTAAACATCCATAGACATAATCTAATCACCAATAAATAGTAATATCAATTTTGAAATAAAATCTAAACTATTTCATTTTTTATCTTTTTTTT